GGATCAGAAGGGTCCAGAAGCCCAGTGAGAGGCTGAGAAAAGAGTGGGACCAGAAGGGTCAGAGGCCTAGAAAGGCACTAGAGGAGTGGAACCAGAAGGGTCCAGCGGGCCCAGAAAAGGGTCAGGAAAGTGTGGGACCAGAGGAGTCTAGGGAGTGACCAAAGGGATCTGGTAGCTCCAAGAAGGGCAGGTGAGAGATCAGGTAGCCTGACAGCCCAGGGAGAGGCTGAGTGAGAGACCAAGGGGCCTGGCAGCCCAGAGAGGGGCTGAGGGAAAGATTGAGAGAACTTAGGCCCACAGAGGGTCTGTGTGTGTAATAAGACTGTGAGGACATCAATGAGGATGGCATCTGCAAATCTTAGGGCATGGTATAGGGGCAGATCAGAGTCACACAATTGGGCTTGAAGCACAGGCAGCTGGTGGTCATTCAGTTAAGACCAGGGGAGCCTCCTGTATTTTTAATGGCAATTTACACCAAGACCTAGCAGGCAAGGAGGGTGGACTGCTCATAGACCAGGGTAAAAGTAAACTTTTTTGGTCTTCAGGGGCTTTATGGCCACCGCTGGAGATGGTACCCTGTGACATACCTATCAATACAGTGAGTACCATCTAGCTGGTGCATTTCATGACTCAGGGGTCCGTTAGAAAAAGGATAGTACTTAAACATGGAATTAAAGTCTGTTTCCTTATGCATACGTTCTCGCTCCCAGCCATTCCTAACTCCTGAGCACGTGACTATGCACACTTAACATTCTCTAGATGTAGCTTTGACAATGTAATAAAATTAAAACTCACTCTGGGTGCTGCTGAGCTTCTCCACCAGACACTGGGTTTCTTCCTGGATCCGCTCCTCAATGCTTTTCTTCCCCATCCCAAAATTCCTCAGGGTGGTAAGAGCAAATCGACGGAGCTGCTTCCACTGCTCCCCATTGCTGAAAATAACCCCTGGAAAGGGAAGGAGGAGAGAGAATAACCCGGGACACAGGGCTGGAGATGAGATTAAATTAATTTGCAAACCTACATCCCCTTAAATGGCATCCCTCAACACTGATGCATCTAATACCTTAATGAGAATTGGAGAATTAAGACTCTTCTTGGAAACCCATTGATATGAACACCTGTATTATATGAACTCCCAGTCTGGACACCAAGAATACAAAAGAGAAAATACCTTTATATGTATGCACAGTAGTCCTGTACGAATAGGGAACTATTTGATTTGGATTCGGCTGAATCAGATGCCAGAGATTCAATTTGGAGATCTGAATTGTTTTTCCGATTCAATTCGGCTGAATCACTTTGGAAGATTCGGAGCCGATTCAGAGATTCGGCCATGGAGTATAATGGAGAATCAATGAAATATCTATAACTTTGCTGTTTTTTGGCTGATTTGGATGAAACTTTCAGGGGTGGTAGCCTCTGCTGAGGGCATGAATTTCACCACTTTTCAAGGTGATAGGTATACAGGTTTCTGGGAAACTGCACCTCAAAGTCCTGAAAGCAAAATTCATGTTGTGTGCATGTTAAGCCACAGTGGGGTGAAAACTGAAGGGATAGTAGCTCTTGCTGAGGCCATGAGGCCTGCTAAGTTTCAAGGAGATAAGTGCAGGCATTTCGGGGAAATTGCACCTCAAGCTGTGGACAAGCAAAACTCAAAACTCATGACATAGGTGACACTGTGTGTGTGTTAAGGCTACCACCCCTGCAGTTTTCACCCCACTGTGGCTTAACACACACACGTTACACAAGTTTTTCTCTGAATTATCTGAATCATCTCCGAAAATCTGAATTGTGATCCAAAGCTTTGCACAGCCCTACTGCACAGCTATATGCATGCATGTTGTTTTCTATACTAGGTACTGCAGTAATATTTCTTACCAGTCCTGTGTGGTTCTTGATTTTTTTACATTCCTCTTTCTTTCTGGTGCTTTGCTACAATGAGAGGCTACAGGACCTGAACCTGTTCAGCCTTCACAAGAGAAGGCTGAGGGGGGACCTTGTGACGATCTATAAACTCACTAGGGGGGACCAGAAGGGTTTGGGGGAGACCTTGTTTCCCCTAGCGCCCCCCGGGATAACAAGGAATAACGGCCACAAGTTGTTGGAGAGTAGGTTTAGATTAGACATCCATAGGAACTACTTCACAGTCAGGGCGGCTAGGATCTGGAACCAACTTCCAAGGGAAGTGGTGCTGGCTCCTACCCTGGGGGTCTTTAAGAAGCGGCTCGATGCCTACCTGGCTGGGGTCACTTGAGCCCAGTTTCCCTCCTGCCCAGGCAAGGGGTCGGACTTGAAGATCTACAAGGTCCCTTCCGACCCTACTTCTATGATTCTATGATTCTATAATATTTAAAATGCTTAATTGAGTGATTAATTCTAATTAGAATACTCCAGCATGCTGCAGCATCCCATGTATTAAGTGTCCCGCATTTCAAAATGATGGTGGTGATGCTGTAACTGAAACTGGTCAAACAAGCTTTAGTTAAAGTTACTCTCCCCACACCCTGTTAAAGCTACAGTGTCCTTGATCCTAAAATCTAACCCTTCAATTGTGAGGTCTTTGGGGCATGGTCTGTCCCTCCCATGAGCTCCACTCTTGAAATAATACCTAATCCTTTAATAAGCTTGTCAATAACGGGCACTTTTCCTCTGGAAACGAACTCATCTCCACGATCAATCAGTGCCTCCTTCACAGCCTGGTACCCATGCAGCATCACAACACGTTCAGAGCCGAAGTACAGTGTGAACGCTGGCCCATATTTCTCATGTAGCTGTAAAAAATACAACCGGGCAACATGGAAGAGAGTTTACTTCTGGCAGGAGCTTTGTGAAATACAAGGAGATCCTAAACAGTCAGTGGGACCTACAAGATAGACCTAGGAAAGCTGGTTAGTATTTCCTCACTCTGTCAATGACCTGCTGGGTGACCTTGAGCTATTTACATTGAAGAAGGGGGCCTTTAGTATGGTAACTAGGCTATATCTAAAGGGTTTGTTCAGTCCTTCATTAGGCAGACTCCCACTGAAATCAATGGAAGTTGACCCTTTGCCTTCACAGATTCAGCAACAATACCTGAAAGGCCTGAATCCTTTCATGATGATGGTGATACATAAGAGCAGTCAAGTGACTCAAAACATTTTCCTTTCACTGTGGGATCATTGCCCATCACCGTGGGCCCATCCTTGCCCATCAACTCCTACTACCAGTCCCTGCAACTGAACAGCTAAGTAGGACGAAGCAGACATACCTTGTTAAGGGTTCTGGTCAGGTCCTTGGTTTTCAGCTGCAGTGCGTTCCCGAGGATGGGAAGGGACCATGGTCCAGGTGGCAGCTTCCCATTTCCAGGTCTCTTTCTCCAGGTTGCTAAGAAGAGAAGGCAAAAGAAACAGAGCACCAACAAACCAGTTATTGCTCCCAGAGGATCCATCACAGGGTGCAGCAGTTATTCTGGAGTTTAATAAGGAGTGGATTTACATGTCAAAATGCAAGGTTTATATACTGTGCAGTGCCAATGCAGGTGCCAGCAGTTTATCCAATAGCAGATGTGTATTCTCCCGGATCAATGAAGATTAACATTTAACTAGCTGAGTTTGCTTAGTAATATTGAACTAGGAATGAACTTCTCTGAACCTTTATTTGAAGAAGCAACAGGGCATTTCTACACCCCCCCACTGCTCAGGCTAAGTTGTGTCCTGCTGGGAGAACATGCTCTGTCTGCTTGCTGGCTTGCTCTGGGTCTGCCAGATCCCAAAAGAATGTAATGTATGGTATAGCTAGAGTGGCACATGACAGTAAGCCTAAGAGCAGCATTGGAACTAACCTTTGGTGCATGGTCAGCAACTGTTAGCTTATTTTTCTTTTCACAACCGCTGACTGTGGCAAGTGAGTGGATAAGTCATGTTGTCATAGTGATGATCTCCAGCACAGTCTGAAGCACTGTAGACACGGCAATTACGCTTCCCAAGGACAATGAGAATTTCCTTGCACAAAGTCAAGGTTTATGTCATGACCTACTAGGGAAATGTCCTCTCCATAAACCCTGTTTATTGAAATGTCGTTGCTATGCCTGGATTTTTACTTGACTAGAGTCAGATCCTGCCTGCTTTCACTATGAACTGTGCTTGTTCATTTTTTAAGTCCTGCTGA